GGTTCCTCACCTAGGACCTGTCTGCCATGGGTGACCCTACCAGGGGCATAAAGCCCCAGACAGCATAGCTCCTAGGATCATTGGGACACTCAAACCCCTCCACCACGATAAGGTAGCAGCCCAAGGAGAGGTGTTCACAGACATGTCATCCAAAAAGTGCTTTATTAAACATTTCACACTAGGTACCTTATGGGCACAATTATGATTTGGAAACACATATTTAAGCAATTATTAGTACTGTATTACTTTATTATAAATATCTACAACTAATAAAGGGAGCCTTATTGTACACTATTTATTAATGACTAATAAACATTTATAAATGTCAGTAGGGAGCCTTATTGTAAAGTGTAAAACAGTACTCTATTTATTAATGTCTAATAAAAATGTATAAATATTTATTAGTCATTAATAAATAGTGTACTGTTTTACACTTTACAATAAGGCTCCCTTATGGCATTTARAAATGTTTATTAGTCATTAATAAATAGTGTACTGTTTTACACTTTAAAATAAGGCTCCCTACTGACATTTATAAATGTTTATTAGTCATTAATAAATAGTGTACAATAAGGCTCCCTTCATTAGTTGTAGATTTTTATAATAAAGTAATACAGTACCAATAATTGCTTAAATATGTTTCCAAATCATAATTGTGCCCATAAGSTACKTAGTGTGAAATGTTTAATATAGCACCTTTTAGATGACATGTCTCTGAACAGATTTGGCTCACTATTTGACAAGAAACCGGACAGTTTTGTTTCTTTCTCGTCCTTTATTAATGCATAATAAACACTTATTAATGACTTATAAAGGGTTTGTAGATGAATTAATAACTTATCTATAAACCATTTATAAAGGGAGTTTTATTGTAAAGTGGTACCTTATTTTGTTATCTGTGTGCATCTACAGCAGATAACATTTTAGCGTGATCCCAATTCAAAATGGCTGCCGCATTTAACTTACCTTAAACTACACAGAAATGACTGTAGCTCAGTCAGTTTTACAGATAATGAGCTAAAATTAGGTATGTTAGTAGCTGAGAGTCATCCACAACAATTAGTCCAAGCGCTACTTGTTGGTAAAGAGTCTTTGCCTAAAAACTTCTGATTTAAGCATTGACATCAACAATGRTTGTCTATTAGCAAAATATCACCAGAATCAGCACATAGATTGAAACTATCAGAAAGTAATCATTTGTTTTGTTTCTAAAAACTGATTCACTTTTGGAGTCACTCCAATTCAAGATGGCTGCCACAGCTAATCAACATTTAACCAACACATCAAGGACCCAAACTCGGATGATTTTAGGGATACTGAGCTGAAATTTGGGGCGGTGGTAGCTGAGAGTCATCTTAAACACATACTCTAAGCTCTTATGCATAGATTTGGCTGTCATCTTGAATTCAAAGTCTGTCGAGAAAGGTGATTTGAATCCTTTAAGGAATGCTAGGACTTTAATTTAATCTTATTTATGTATTTATCTCCACTTTATTGACAACCCAACAGTTTACAACAGCGCA